CTGATAGCATTAATCGGTCACAAACGCACCCTTTCGGTTAACGGTTAATCAATTATTTTGAGCATCCCTACTGCCCACCAAATTGATTTGCAGTATTAACATATTTCTGTGGTAAAATCATGTCCACAGAACATGATTTGCAAAGAAACTGGGATTAAAAGATCTGTTCCAACTCTCTGTGATCAGCTGAACCTCAAGAATGAGTTTTACAAGCTCAAAATATTTTTAAAATAGAGTAATTAAAACAGTGAAATTGCTAAGCAATTCATATCTTCTCCTAATAATAGTAATTATAGCATAATAATAGCTAATTTGCATAATTTTCACAGGCAACAAAACAACTACTATGTAATCTTACTCCAAAATTTGTAATTTTTAGCAGGGTATAATATATTATTTGATGGGTATTTTGAGCTGAAACATTACAGACATATTCTGAAGGCACCAAAGACTTATCTTACATTGTATCAAATTGGTAAAATATGAGCCCAGAACTGATGAAAATGAAAATATTACTCTTGATAAATTTATTTTGACTGTTATTTTTTATTATTTTGTTAAGTCAACTTACAGACACAGAAACCTACATGTGCCAGAGAAGTGCTGCTTTTGTAGCTTTGAGATTCTAAAGTTGTTCAATGCTTAATATTATTGACTTTTTATTATGCATCCTCCAAATTATGAATGAACAGATCAAAACACATTCACCAAACAATGAAACTCTCAACAGCTTGTTTAAACAGACAGAAGTCGAGCATTAGTTCATTTAATGGGAGATCAAAACATTTCATGGTGGCTCAGTGGTTAGCACTGTTGCCTTACAGCAAGAAGGTCACTAGTTCCAGTTTTGGCTGGGCCAGGTGGCATTTCTGTGTAGAGTTTGCATGTTCTCTCCGTGTTCTTGTGGGTTTCCTCAGAGTGCTCCGGGTTCCCTCACAAGTCTAAAGACATGCGCTTTACAGTAGGTGAATTAAATAAACTAGATTGGCCATAGTGTATGAGTGTGTGTGTTTATGTGAGAGTGTTACGGTTGTAGGTGTTTGCGCACTTCTGAGTGTCTGTTTGGTCACATGGTTTTGTTTTGTTTTGGTGTTCTACATGTGTATGACGTCTGTGTTATGTCACGTGTTATGTGGAGTCCTGCTATCCTGATTAGCCTGCCAGCTATGACTCGTTATCTCGGCTATATCTGGACAGTGCGTATCTTGTCTCGTGTCAGTTCGTTGTTATTTTGATGTGCTCTCTGTCTGTGTTTAGGGCTGGCGTGGAGACCCATCTGACACCTAGAGCTACTCTGTTCCTGTCTGTTTTCCCCGATCCCCGCTTGAGTGGGATACCTTATCTTTTGTTTGTTTATTTTTTCCATTTTGGACTTTGGTTATACTTTATTAACTGTGGTAATAACGTAATTTTACTTGCATATTGGGTACTTCTAATACTCATATTCATTGTAACAGAGAGTGTATGGTTGTTTCCCAGTACTGGGTTGTGGCTGAAAGGGCATCCGCTGTGTAAAACATATGCTGGAATCGTTGCCGGTTCATTTAGCTTTGGCAACACTGATAAATAAGGGACTAAGCCAAAGGAAATATTTTAATAAATTATTTGTATCTAGAATTTGAGGTTTCGGTAGCAGACATCTTGCATACTGTATGTTGTCCATTTATCAAACCATTTTTTCTTTACATAGAATATAGAAGAGGGGTAAAGATCAGTAAAGTTTTGTTGTTGTTTTTCTTCTTTTGACGTGCAGATTTATGCTTTTTACCCAGTGTTTCCCAGGGTGAATTGATTGGCCAAATCCAGACATTACAATGGGCAATTCATTTTTAACAAGTAGACAGAAAAAGTTGAACTTGTAGTAATTCACCACTTTTAATTTAACCAAACCCATATATAAATCTGATTCGTGCAAATTGCAAATATGACATACAAGTTTATATTTGGATTTCACATACAGTATATACTGTATAATTCTTCCTTACTTTCAGGGACGTTTATATTATCCGCACCATGTTAGTGTTTTGTAACATCTAAATTTTACAAGGTGGGTTGTTAGCCCAATGCTTAACCCCCAACCTGCAGGACCAGGACAAATACACTACAGACACATTAGCTTCCTATAGCGCAGGTCTTTGTACTTGTGGGGGAAACCGGAGCACCAGGAGGAAACCCATGTGAACATAGGGGTTTAGAACATGCAAACTCCATGCAGAAATGCCAACTGACCCAGCCGGGTCTTGAACCAGCGACCTTCTTGCTGTAAGGCAACAGCGCTACCAACTGCAACACCATGCCACCATTTATAGTTTCAAAATTATTTTAAATAGCAGTTTTTTTCAACAATTGGAATTACAAATATGTACATATATGTTTAAATATATTATATAATAGAAACTTGACACATTTTGTCACTAAAAACCTTGTAATCTGCTGTGACACTATGTGCTAGTTTTAAAACAGGCAAATACACTAAAAACTTTAATTAGTAGAAGGACACCCATTCAACATCATGTGACTGAAGCCCCCACGAAATTGATAGCATGCACCTGTTAAGTTTTTTCTCTCATAAATTAACAAATTGTTAAGTTTTGTTGTCCTTTGGCATGACCACATGTCTAACAAGTCATGGAGAAAAAGTAAATTATTCATAATTTATTTATACAAAACAAATAGAAGATAACTGTCCAACAATGAAGATACATCACTCTCCTACATTTTTATATTTAGTTTCTAATTTTGTTTTTGGAGACACACACACACACACACACACACACACAGATTTTTTCATATTATATATTGTAGCCTCATGTCTTGTCCCAAACGGCCATCATTATATTTAAATTTTAACAGAGGTTACTTTAGCAGTGATATGTGATATGACTAGTAACAATGGAGTTAAATCTAAGATAGAAATTTGAGATTGATTCTTCATCAAAGTGCAGGAAAAGACATGTTGCTTTCTCAGTGCAAAAAACATCTCAACATTTTGACAACACAAAGCAAATTCTACCAGGCCTCAGCTACAACTACAGTGTTTGAGGGTCAAAGTACCATTGTTTGTAGGCAGCCAATGCAGAAAATTGCTGACATTATGCAAATTAGTTTCAAACCAATGTTTGTGCAGGAAGTAAGACTGAAGTCAGGCAGTTCTAAAGCTGCTTTATTTTGGGGGACAAAATTTGCAGACCACAAACTGGTATTTTAGACACTACATGAAAGACGATATGACAAAGCAGAAGAGAAGAACTTTAATTTTTGGGTTTTCCAATAATTCTTAAACAAGTGATTGTTGTAAAACTGGAGGTTACTGGCCATCGGGACTAACAGAGGTGGTTCTTGTGAGTAGAGTTGCTGCAATAAAGTATTTCTGCTGGCAAATGTTCGTTTGGAAATTATTTTTGTGTATTCCTATTTGGGAGCTTTGTTATATGCCTCTATTCAGAGAGCATTTTGTAATGTTATGAGACTGCATTGCTTCATTCAACATTCACATTACAAGCACATTGAAGAAAACCTACTCAGAGACTCATGCACCAACAGTCTTTTAAATTCAAGCCTGAGAGAAATTGATTGGCTTGTTTTGGATCAATATGTGGCATTGTAACCCAGGATCCGCTATGAAATCACTGAGGGAGAGCTAAGTGTCCTTCCTCCTGAAGTATACATCATATTTTTCAAACTCTATGGAGCGTAAGACAATGTTCTTTAAATGAATCATTGTTGTGGGAAACCCACACCTAGTCCTTGAATGCCCCTCTATAAAAGACTCATAGAAATGAGTCATAGATTGTGCTGTAATATACAATACACTCTCTTATAACCAATTGGAGACTGTAGAGTTTTCGTCTTAACTTTTTCACTAATGTAACAAAAGTTTAGTTTCAGTGCTCTATAGATTTCATCTAGATTTCATTTTTCTCTAATCTTTTCATTAAATCATTATATATGGTATTTCATTAAATGTAATTTGATTCTAGTCCAGTCCAGGGAATTGATAAACCTAAATGGTTCTCTCTAAAATGTAATGGATTTGGAAAATCAGGTTTGTTTTAATAAATCAGTTTATTTTAAAGTTCTCTTTCTAATATGTGTAGTACTTTGAATTGGTTCACCTAAATGTTTCTCTCATAAATGCACTGGAAAGTCAAATTTTGACTTTTAAATCATTTCACTTTTAAATGGTTCTCTCTCGAGTGGAAGTTTGAGGTATTATTTGGTTGTGTTTAATGATTCATAAATGGACATACGTTAAAAAGGGATTAATCAACATAAACACTTATACTATATAAAGCTTTTTTAAAAATGGTTACAAAAATGAGCTAATTTAATATGAATTTGCTTTTCAAGGTTGATACTGTTAAGCTAATTGAGTTTTATTTTAATAAATAAAAGCATATTGTTTAATATTATCATTGTAGTTTATTAATTTTATTGATTTCTACAAGACTAAATAACTAAATGTCAATTTACACAAAACATTTCAATAGGCTTCTACATCAAGTTTGAAAATGAATGTTTAAATACATTTGTAAGTTGCTGTTTCTTTGTGTTTAATTGTAAAAATCTACTTCAGCAAAGTTTCTGTTTCAAAGTAGCTTTCTTAACACTGAATAGATCCAATGACCCCGAAAAAATGTTTTTCTCATCCAAGCATCTCAATAATTCATTGTTCATATTTATGTACGGCACAGATCACAACAATAAGCTTACTGAGTCACAGATCTCGGTTGGGTCTCTTTGTGTATTGATTGGACGCAGAGTTTAGCATTGAGTGGAGGCAGTGTGCAGTGAGAAAAGGCAAAAACACCTCAGCGAGAGAGGTGACGTGGCCCTCCATTTCTCAGCTTTAGTTCAGAAAGCCATTTAACTTTGTGTAAACAAACTCCAGGAAACCAGCCCTCATGCTCAGTCGAAAGAGTAATAAACAGATGCAACTTTGAAACAGAGCAGCCAGCATGTGCATCTTCAGCTTAATGACCTTTAAATCTCTCACACAGGTAACCTCTCTAAAACCTGCACTGCTGATGGCTGGACCGAAATGGACTCGTTGGAAATCGCAGTAAATTGTGGATATAATCTGAATGGCACTGTTGACGATGTAAGTACTTTACATCTCTAAAGGTTATTGAGAATCTTTGCAAAATGCAAAAATCTATTTTAAAGTATGTCACACTACCATTTTCAACCCCACTGGTGTTATACAACACCAAAATGATCAGATTCTTGAACGTACTGAACTTTTAGCCCCACACAGCGATCGTTTTCATCCAATCAAGTGTTTCACTTCCAAAAAAAACAGCGTTCACCTTTTTCAGGCAACCCCATGGCATGCTTTTCCAGCCTTTTATTGCCTGGTGCAAACTAACAAGTCGGAACATAATAGCTCTTTTATTTAGCATTGCACACCAGTGTCAGCCTTTGGATGCATTTGTAAACATACTAATAATCCATCACTGAAGCAGCTATTATGCAACATGAAACGCCTTGATCTTTTGAGCAGAGAGTAGTTAAGTGAAGAGCGACTGACCTTTGGCTTTTAATGAAAGTTTTCCCAGCGTGTGTTCACAACAACAGGACGAGTAATCAGCACAGTCAGTCCTCAGAGCCACCGGGAGTATGTGGGCATGAGACTCAAAAGAATTGAATGTTTTTGTTGATGAGCCTCTAATGCTCCTTGTTGGCATGGCAGCTTTTTAGATTAAACTCTGGTCAAAGACTATTAAAATGCTCTCCACACTGGTGAATCTTTCAGAAAAGTTTTGCGTGGGAGAGACAGCATAGCCATTATTACCAAAAGAGATAACCTTGAGTAAGAATTCTTCTTTTTAGATGAAAAGAACAGCGCATTGTGTCATACTGTAGGCAGTTTTTTTTTTTTTTTTTATAGGCTGTAGTGGTTATAAAGGTTGTTTTGATCCCAGTCTCATCCTTTATACTGACAATTAAAAAAATCTTAGATTTACACACTGAACACAAAACTAGCATACAGTATGTGATGAATTAATTTCCCTAGAACAGCACAAGATGTATTTTGTTATCGTTTATGAGAATGTTTTGCTAGACAGCATGTTCAGTGTTGTTTAAATCCCACAGAAGTGTACAGAAAAATAAGCAGTTTAATTTGATGCTTTGATGCATTGCATTGGACCAGATAGTTTAGGCGGGACATGACGAGTGGCTTTTCTTTTTAAAAATATATATTTTTATAGCTAGATTGCAAGCTAAAAGGATAATTACATGTCTTTTCCACTTTGTAGTGCATTGTATGTGCCGTAAAGTGAATAAATAGATATATTTGCCATTAATAGCATGGCATTTCTGTGTGGAGTTTGCATGTTCTTCCTGTGTTGACATGAGTTTCCTCTGGGTACTCTGGTTTCCCTCACAGTCCAAAAACATGCTCTACAGGTAAATTGAATAAGCTAAATTGGCCATAGTATATGTGTGTGAATTCAAGAGTGTATGGGTGATTCCCAGTGTTGGGTTGCGGAAAGAAGAAGTTTGTTCCGCTGTGGTGACCCCTGATTAATAAAGAGAATAAGCCAAAAAGAAAATGAATGAATAATTGAATAAGTAGCATACTAAATGTTTGAGCAAGTGACCAGTATCATTGCTTTAGCAGCTTATATAGTAGGGCGCTGGATGCTTTAGATTATAGAGAGCAATTGATTGGACAGAAGATCTGAAGAGAAACTAAAGTGATATCAAAATAGTTATCTGGATTGGAGGAAGTGATGGAGTGCTGGGAGTTTTGAATTCTTATCTCTAAATTCGAATGTTGCATACTAGCTTATAGATAACCACAAGACTGACAAACTGATACTAGCACCACCAAAAAAAAAAAAGAAAACAGGGCCCATTTTACTAACAGCCTGCACCAGCTGTGGCAATTTTTGGTGACATTTGCATTGCTTTATGTTATGATCATGGTAAAAATAAACTGAATCTGTCGTTTTTAATTCTAAATTAAACATTTAAATCATTTAATAAAGCACTAAAAAGCAAAAAGTTTTATACACTACAGTATAAAGGTTATGGTTTGGTAAGATATTTTTATGTTCTTAAAAGTGTTAATGATCACTTGATAAAAATGCAGTATTTTAAAAAATATATATTTTAACCATTTTTTTCAAACCAACCGGTTTTAATGTATTTTAAAAAAGCTTGAGAGGTCAAATATACATTTTCATTACTCCAATCTTTACTCCACTCATCTTTGTCACATGATCCCTCAGAAATCATTTATTTATGTGGAATTGGTGGTCAAGAAACAAATGAAAAAAAAAAAGTAAAATATTGTTTTTAGATACTTTGACCAGAATTTTCAGCAAATAACATAAATGAAAAAAATACAAAATAAAAATAAAATACAGTATACTGGTAAACGCACATTGTTTCCTTTGTTTTGCAGGATAGCTTTTTTAGGTCAGTGAAGATCGGCTACACCATCGGCCACAGTGTTTCTCTCATTTCTCTCACAACTGCCATTGCAATACTCTGTATATTCAGGTAAAAACTTCTATGTTTACTTTTTAATATTTTTGTGTGGTTTTTTTTCCAGTTTATCAGTTTTTCAACAAAAAATTGTAATATACTTGCAATAATAAAATTGTTTATCTCTAGACATCATGTACTTTAAAATGTCAGCAAGTTCTATAGAACACATCCAAGCCAGTTATTTCAAGAAACAGAGTCACACAATATCTTCCTGACTGTTGAGAATTAACTGAGAGTTCAGTAATTTAATTTGCTTATATTGTGATCTACTTATAAATGAATTGCATCAAACACATTTAAAAGTTTCTTCAATAAAAAGAGAAATATAAACTCTTTATTTATGAAATATGAAAACTTAATGTATTTTTTAAGTATCACAAATGATTCATTTTATATTTCAATGCACATATTTTTTTATTATTTAAAAAGATACAAACTCAAAATATTTGCTTTAATAAAGGGCTAAAGTTCAACCCTCAATAAGACATTTTGATGAAGCTAATAGCTTTAAACACAGAAAACATGCATGGTTCTGGCCCCAGATTTACCACGGGGTGTCATGAAATGAATCACTAAAGCTGTGGAAGATTAAACAGCAAGCAACGTGTTTCCGTTTTGACACTACACAGATTGATCTACCTCACCAGAGGCTGAACTGCCGGCTAATGGCAGAGATAAAAGCTTTCTTACATGTATATTCCAACAAACACATTTCATGCAGGCCAAACTGACTGTCCACCATCAGAGAATTATTTCAGTGCTTAGCGCTTATATATAAACCCAGAAGTGACACTTTGAGCTATAAAGATGATTTACAACTCTTTAATTGGCACCAAGATTGCATTCAAGTAGTGTAGGCACTGTTAATTACATGTTTATGAAGGACTGCATGCATTTGGATCATAATATTTATGATACTGTTCTTGTAGGTGATTAATTTTTCACATGGAACATTACCAGTGTTGGGTATATATTATTTACCAATTTGTAGTCTAAATTATTTAATGTAATTTATTATGATTACACGTGGTAATGTAATCTGATTATTTATAGATGTTTTTTATTTTTTTACCTGACATGTTTAACACATTGATTATATATATATATATATATATATATATATATATATATATATATATATATATATATATATATATATATATATATATATATAAAGCAAGTTGTTCTTGCAGACTAAAACAGGACAAAATTATCAGCAGCATGAAGCAAAATGCAGGCTTTCTTGTGGATTTATTAAACTTATATTCTTCAGATTCCTCCCTCCATCCACAACTATTCCCTCCTATCTTGAATATCATGAAAGGATTGTTGTGACCACATAAAGTTTAAGTTAGAATTATTAGCCCCCATTTGAGTTTAGTTTTTGTTTTTTAAATATTTGCCAAATGATGTTTAACATAACAAGGAAATTGTCACAGTATGTCCGATAATATTTTTTTCTTCTGCAGAAAGTCTTATTTGTTTTGTTTGAACTAGAATAAAAGCAGTTTTTAATTTTTTTAAACACCATTTTTAACGTTTAAATTATTAACCCCATTTAACAATTTTCTCCCCAAACAAACCATTGTTCTACAAAAGCTTGCCTAATTAGTCTAGCCTGTCTAGTTAACCTAATTAGCCCAGTTAAGTCTTTAAATGTCACTTTAAGCTGTATACAAGTGTCTTGAAAAATATCTAGTAAAATATTTTTTACTGTCATCATAGCAAAGATAAAATCAGTTATTAGAAATTAGTTATTAAAAGTATTATGTATAGAAATGTGTTGAAAAAAATCTTTCTCTGGGCTAATAATTCAAGCGGCTAATAATTTAAGGGGGCTAATAATTTTGAAATTATTATTGAAAAAATCTTCTCTCCATTAAACAGAAATTGGGGGGGAAATGGGCTATTAATTCTGACTTCAACTGTATATTATGAATCCCAGATTACAGGTAATCAGCAGTACTGGATACATTACTTTCAAATTTAAGGTTTTTACTGATGACAAATTACATAAAGATTGTAGTCTGTACTGTCATCTTTAACATTACTAATTTTATTCTATGTATTCTGACTACTTTTGTGTAGAGATTGTATAGATGACAATTTAACTCTTACAGTGCATCCAGAAAGTATTCATAGCACTTCACTTTTTCCACAATTTTTTATGTTACAGCCTTATTTTAAAATGGATTAAATTAGGTTATTTTCTCCAAGTTCTACACACTATACCCCATAATGAAAATGTGAAAAAAGATTTTCTGAAATTGTTGCAAATTTATTAAAAATAAAAAACCTGAAAAATCACTTTTACATAAATATTTACAGCCTTTACAGTGAAGCTCTAAATTAAGCTCAGGTGCATTCTGTTTCCAGTGATCATTCTTGAGATGTTTCAGCATCTTAATTGGATTCACCTGTGGTAAATTTCGTAAATTGGACATGATTTGAAAAGTCAAACACCTGTCTAAATAATGTCCCAGGGTTGACAGTGCATGTCAAAGCACAAACCAAGCAAGAAGACAAAGGAATTGTCTGTAGACCTCTGAGACATGATTGTCTCAAGGCACAAGGCAGGGGAAGGTTACAGAAAAATTTCTGCTGCTCTGAAAGTTCCAATGAGCACAGTGGCCTCCATCATCGGTAAATGGAAGATGTTTGGAACCACCAGGAGCAATGTACAGAGACATCCTGAATGAAAACCTGCTTTAGAGTGGTTTTGACCCCAGACTGAGGCTACGGATCATCTTCCAGTAGGACAAGGACCCAAAGCACACTGGCAAAATATCAATGGAGTGGCTTCACAACAACTATGTGAATGTCTTTGAGTGGCCCAACCAGAGCCTCGACCTAAATCTTATTGAACATCTCTGGAGAGATCTGAAAATGGCTGTACACCGTCACTTCTCATTCAACCTGATAGAGCTTGAAAGGTACTACAGGTGTGCCAAGCTTGTGGCATCATATTCAAAAAGACTTGAGGCTGTAATTTGCTGCCAAAGGTGCATCAACAAAGTATTGAGCAAAGGATGTGAATACTTATGAACATGTAATTTTCATTTTTTTTTTTTTTTAATTTTTAACAAATTAGCAACAATTTAAAAAAATACTTTTTTACGTTGTCATTATGGGGTATTGTGTGTAGAATAAGGCTATAACAATCCAAAAAAAAGTGGAAAAAGTGAAGGGCTATGAATTCTTTCCGGATGCACTGTAAGACTGGGTTCATATGAAATACAAGTATATATATTCAAAGTACAAAGTCAATACAAACATGCAAATAGAAGCAGATTTCTGGCAGTGAAAACACATGCATGCTACATTTGCAGCAAACACAAGGCATTTTTTTCAATCATCTCTTCCATGTGAAAAGCTTCACATTTTCACAATTTCAAATTGTGTGAGGTGAAAATATTCCGTGAGTTATCTGGAGAGAGTGATATTAATGTACAGAATAATTGTGAATCATTTACTTCTATTGTATGAATATTAATACTGAAGTAATAGCAGCCTAAATATATCCCATTTATATCTATATAAAGTTACAGGAGTCTAAATATATCCATTTTATTATTACAATTTTTTTGCTTTAATATGATTCTGATTACATGACTCTGATTACATGCAGTCAGTCAGTACCAGTGCTGCATATTTCTGCAACATGCTCTTTATATAAAATCTTGTTTAGAATCACCCATAAAATACAATTGCTAATAAATGCATCAATTCAACCTTTGAAAACTTACATGAGCACAGCCTACATAAAAATCCATAAGTTTTGCTGTAAACACACATATTCAAAGACTTACAGCAGCTCACAGTGTTCATTTTACAGGGTTAATCCTCCTTGCAGCATCTGAGAGGTTAAGTGTCCTCATCAGGGTCACAAACATGATAGCCCACAGCTCTTTTCTTATGATTACCAACCCCCAGCATTAAGTACACCTCAACCGAGCCCATTTACTGTCAATCCCATCAGTAATAAGGCTCATATGTGTCAAAGTAGCACTGCTTCTCAGTAAAGCTCCTGATGTTCAGCAATGTAATCAGTCCTAATCCCGTCTATTAACACTATCTGCACTCGAGCTACGGGATTTAGCAGTCTTAACTAAGACTATATCAGTCTGATGTGGGATTTCTGTGGATGACAGAGGCGGAAGACCTGATAGCACCTCAGGATATTGTTGTCGGTCTGAACGCATTCAATGGCTGTGGTCTAATTAAATTATACCTTTCCTGAGAGATGCTTACATTTTATGGTGTCCAAATCCATCAGGCGTTTGTCAAGGTTGATTCTGCAGATGGTCAAACACTAGAGACATAACATAGGCCTGTGTGTGTGTAAAGATCACGCTGATAGTGTCAGATCATAGTGTGTGAAATGAGCAATTTTGAGGCATCATGGTGTGAGGTTAACAGAAACACAGGAATTTGACCTTTAAATGCAAAGTTGTAGCAAGTTAGGGAAAACAGTAATGTTATAAAATAAGAAATGCAACTTATATTAAACAGCCGCATTCGTGAGGATTATAAAATTTTAAAATAACAATTAAAAATAACATTTAAAAATAGCATTTAAAAATAATTTGTTAATCAAAAACATTTGAACGGTTAAAATTGTGCTTTATAAACAGCAGCTGACATTGATGTACTTTACTGTTAATGCAGTCTCAGCATGCCTGTGATTGCACCTAACCTTTTAAGTTTAATTTTATATTTGGATTTTTTAAAATAAGCTTTTTAACTTTTTAATTTTTTTAATGGGTCACACTTTATTTTAAGGTACAATTCTAGCTATTAATGAACCATTAACTATGACTTTTGCCTCAATCTCTTAATTCAATATTTTTTGAGGTAGTAATTTGTCATTGGGGATGTAGAATATGATAATGCTGATTATGTATTTCATAAGTACTAATAAACACTAATAGCATGTAATAAGCCACTAGATAATAAATTTACTTTTCTCGTCATCTCAACTTTCATCAGTCAAACTGATTAAAAATAGTAAGTTGAACTTTATATTAATTAAACAAATATTAGTTGAAACCTGATTTAACTTTTTAAAGTGAAATTAACATAAAAACATTTTTTATAAAAACAGTTTTTACAGTGGACAGCTATGATCTAATTTCAGTAAATTTTTTTATTTTTTTGTTTGGACGGACAGATAGCCTAGATTTTTATCTCACTTTAAGTACGTTTACATGAACACCAGTAATCCGATTTTAATATGATTAAGACAATCTTATCTGACTAAAGTCATAATCGAACTAAACAGAAATTGAATAAAGACATGTCGAGTATGCCTAATTTAGTCGTAATATTAAAGTGCAGTACAGACATGTAAACACCTTAATCAAACTATTACCGTCATGTAGGACTTTTCACCGCATTTTGCAACAGAATAGTCTATACACATTTGGCTGACACTATTCTCTGCACCTACTGAGTCAGTAAAGGACCGTCCACACACACATCGGGAAATGCTAAGTTTTTTTTTCCCCATTCGGTGTGCTTTATCAAATTCTATTAAAACACTAGCACTTACTTCAAATTGTACCTAATATCTCATGTCATAGGGGGCATGAATGAATTGTTCCTGAATTAAAGTGAAACTGTGAAAAGTCGAAAAATTACAAATTAAACACTCAAATTTACATGAAACTCCAGAGGAAATGTGGATAGCGTGGTGGCGCAATGACATTTATCAATATGTGCTATAACTGGTAAAACTGAAGTATGATAGGATCATTCAAAAAGCAACTTATGTAAACACCTTAATCATAGTATTGTCTTATTCAGATTAAGGCAAATAATTAGGGTACTGATATCCATGTAAATGTAGTCAACGAGTACGTTTACATGGACACCAATAATCAAATTTCAGTATGACAATACTCTGATTAAGGCCCCTTTTACACTAATGCGTTTTGTTTTAAAACACACAAGTTTTGCTACGGTTACGCCATCTGTCCACACTATGCCAGAGTTTTCGAGCGCCGAAAACGGAGTGTTTCGAAAACGCTGGTGAGGCCGTTTTCATTCTAAAACGCTGCTGCTCCGTCTCAGTGTGGATGGGGGAAAACGGAGACATCTGAAAACGGAGGCGGGGCTGCAGACATTCGCCTATCTGATAGGGACTTTTCCTCAATATTAAGTAGCCTACACAAACAGTTCAGTCTCAAATGCTCTCCCTGTAAGTTCAGACTTCGCAAGTTTGATATGGAAAACAAAACCTAGAGGACATGTCCGGTAAATCTTCAAAGGGAACAGTGTACTTTATAACCTTATTCACAATATCCTGGCTACGTTGTTTCACTTTCTCAACAATAAAATGAAAACATGATTTAAGGAACTGCCTATTTTCATTTTGATTTTAACAACTTAACAGACAGCAGAAATGCTGAGGGGTCTAGCTGCATCTTCACTGTATGCATATTTATAATAAAACAGAGCCTATATAAAATTACTGCTACCTTTCATTTTCATTGAAAAGACGATATGTATCCTCTGCTTTGCTGAATGTCAGTTTTAATAATCAATAATAGCCATTATGAAAGTACAGTATAACGCACAATAAGTTTATACATTATAGGAAATAAAGGCAAGCGATCAGTCAATATATAGAATGTACGAGGTTACATTAATTATTAACTTATCTTTGCGCTCAGCCAAAACAATTTACCTGTGAACAAATAATCGATTCAAAAGAACAAATGAGAATATGTCGTTAGATATAGATAGCAAGATTCATTAAATATCAAGTTTAGCAAATATAGTGAGATTAGATCCAGTGGGAGATGCTTGATGAGCTGTCCGACCAGCACAGCTCTCATCTGGGTAGAAATGCTGCAGCGCTTGCCCGAGAGTGTGTGTGTGGTCACGTGATGTGCGTTTTCAGTGTTTTGGTGTGGACGGAGAGCAGTTCAGAAAAGCTGGGTAAAACGCTAGTGTGGACGCGGATCGTTTTCATTCTAAAACGCCATTTTAAAACTAAAATGCACTAGTGTAAACGGGGCCTAAGGCCGTACTCACACTAGGTACACTTGCCTCGAACCGGGCCAAAGCACGCTTGTCTCTCCTCCCGTCTCACCCGACGGCCCGCACTCAGACCACAATCGGGCCTGGGTACGCTTACGTCATCGATGCTGCGCTGTTCAGTGAGAAGCGCTGTCACTCAGCAGCACAGTGGAGATTTTTCTAGTTATATCGTTTCAGTCGTTTGATATGCAGTGACATGCAGTCAAATATTTCGCCAAACAGTCCTTAGGGATGCGGTGACACGCAGTCAGATATTTCGCCGAACAGATCTGCCACTTTTGGCGCTCATAAACAATCATAAAGCCCTCATGCTGCAGGAATGAAGAGGTCTGCTGAAGGCGCGCAGCTGTCGTGCAGTGAGGGGTTTGCGTATTTCATAAGCTATGACAGTTTGCGTTCATTGAACAGTAAGAATGATTAATAAATCCATATGAAACAGCCCCTTAAAAGTCACGTCTCGCTTTCAGTTTCGGCCCAAAATGAACCGTGCTCAGACCCACCTCTTCCAACCGGGCCAGGGCCGGCCAAGTGAACCGTGCTTGAGCCCGATTCAGCGCACTCACACTTCTCAAACGATCCGGGAAATGGGCCTGGGCACGGTACGGATGGCATAGTGTGAGTAGGCCCTAAGAGTCAACCATGTAAACAGCCCTTTTTTTTTCTTTGATTACATTAATCTGACTATAACTAAGTCATAATTGAACTAAAGAGAAAATCGAATTAAGACATGTGGAGTATGTATATTTTAGTTGCATTATTGAAGTGCAGTACAGGCATGTTAACACTGCAATCTAACTATTACCATCATACAGGAATTTTACCACCTGCGTAGCGGCATCTTAGAAGCCAATCTAAGTAATACTACAAAACTAACCAACCATGCAATTTCCAAAAATGCTATTTTGTAGAGAACATGAATAAAAAACATGATGTTCTGGGAGTTTTGGGATATCAGAGTCCCTCAATATGTTTTCGAAAAGGGCTGCTTTTTGAATTATGCAGTTTTGGATGTGTTCTCACTATAACATCTCACCCATAAAACAAACAAAAAAAAGCCATCATTTCTCCCTCTCATTTTACTCCAAACCATATTATTTTCACAGAGCTGATGCAGTGTGGTCATTATTTTGATTCCCAGCCATAGCTTGATCACATATAATAAGCACGTTGCACATTAATTGAGCCGCTACCTTGAATTAAAAAATTCCCTTGTTTACCGAAAGTAGAAACATGCCTGTGAAATGGCAACAAAATTATCTGTTTAACGAACCCCTTTGACACACCAGAAAGCTCAATTAGGATTTCATTTGTAGTGTAATTAGCTCTCATTTTTTCGTTGTTAGTTCCAAGGACGGGGTGTAATTAGGGGGCAAGGGATTTCTCAATCAGGCTTAACATATTTTAGATTCAGTCCGTGAGTGTGGCTGATTGTATTTCTTGTTTTCCCTCAGGAAACTCCACTGCACTCGCAACTACATCCACATGCACCTGTTCGTGTCCTTCATTCTGAAAGCCATCGCGGTTTTCGTCAAAGATGCAGTGCTGTACGATGTTGTCCAGGAGTCTGACAACTGCTCCACTGGTTCTGTAAGTTTAGTATTGGTTAAGGTTGATTCAGAAATAGGACATGCATGTTGACAAGAAATTTTATTTTTCAGCCTCATAAACATTTTTTTTCATTGATATGGCCTGAAACATATTGTAATCTACAGTATGTCAAACAGCGACAAATTATGAAAATGTTAAATGTTAAAAAGAAAGAAAAATCCAATCTGAACACCAAAATGTATCTGTAGTTATAAAATCACCCACAAGTGTTTATTTATTCTCTCACTGATCGTTTCACAGGCTGTAATAGTTTCAGTTAGCGAAACTTGACATCCAGACCAAGCAGTGTTATTTGTCAGCATAAATAGAGTATACCCAGCTGATCAGGTTTACATTTTTTCATGCTCGCTGCATTAACAGAAGTGTCGCGGGCCTCTCGACTGTTATGTCTGCTGCTAAACATCCACGGGCATAACTTCACACTCGCTGCTGAATTAAGTGCTGTCGCTGACCTCTGTTTGAACCGACGTGCCAAAACGCTTGTTCCAATCATTCTGGATGGCATGTGCATGCATTGTTATTGTTGCAGCCCCTCAAGCCAACTCAATTTCACAGATTTTTCTTTCACAACACTGTCGAATTGCAAGATGTGATGTGAATTGTGGGTCATTTTTTTTTTACACTGGTACCAAAGGGATTTCCTCTGTGCTAGTTTTACACTGCTGTGTTGACAGAGATGGACTGGAAAAAAGTAGTAAATCAAAGTAAAAAATATTTATAGCACATTTGACAATATACTAACACGGTTTTTCTACATCAAACATTCTCCATTTCAATGTGCTGTTTCTTTGTGTACATTTTGTTATTTTACTAGCAACTTCTTTCAGTGAATGTACAGTAATATACAGTATTCTGCTTTGTGTAATAGCAAGCTGTTTGACTAGTTTAACCAGCATCCCTTCCAGAAAGATGATTGATTATTAAACCATGCAAGCAAAACTAGTAAAACTAGAACAATCAAGTAATGGCAAGTTCAGATTGTATGATTTTCAAAGTAGTCGCAATACAGATGTTTCTACACTGCATGACTTTCTGGGGTAGTGTTCTGTCGATGTGTTTACACTGCAAGATAGAGCGACGACTGGGGTTGACACACTGCATGACTTTAGAATATGAAGATTTGCCACAACTTTCTAAACTATGTCTCACAACCAAACACACGCGAGAAGGGACATGGGGTCCGTTCTTCGTACCTCGCTTAAATGATCTAAGATTATTTGGCAGATCCTGGATCTTTTAATCTTGATAACTGATCTTTTGCTAATTTGGTTCTTCAAACAAGTTCGCGAATCAGATTAGAATGTCTGGATGAACTGATCTGAGATCGCTGCGTGTGTTATGAAGGACAAATCTATCGATCCTCGAAATCATGATCAGCAATGCAACGATTGGCTGACGGCACAGCAGCGTAATGACATCATCTGATTAATATTCAATTATCCATGTGAGCAAAATTACATCAAATTAGCAGTAAACGGCTTGTTAAATATGACACGCAAGAACTTTCCACATTTGTTGTGAGCTGCAGGCTTTACACTTTCATGTATCAAGACAAGAGTATTCATCATGTATTTCAATGCAAATCAGTGTATTTAGTTCTACATTTAGAAAAGATTTTCTTTATTATTGTAGCCGTTTTTTAATCGGTGTAAAGAATAACTGGTTGTTTACAAAAGCATTTTCGTATTGGTAAAGGCGTCTGCAACTTTTGTGAAGCTTCAAATCACTGGCATATTAACTATCAAAACATGTTTATGACTGCTGACATGTATTATTGCTTTAAAAAAAGTCACATATTGTGCATTTCTATTATACACAATTTGTACTAAAGCGATCTAAAAAGTTAATATCAATAAGTTTTCTCTTTGCACCAGATGGCAGTCTTTGTACTTTCATTTCGAGAGTGCAGATTGTATAGCCTACGTTTTATTAATATGTATAACTTTATTTATTTTATTAATGACTATAACTTTATATATATATAGTTAAAAAATATGTACCATTTTCCCAAGTGTATATAACTACTACTGTAAGAAAATATCAGAATTCGGAACAAACTTTCTGTATTATCTTTGCTTGAACTGAGCCGATCTAATCCTGTTTATATGAATTGAACCTGCTCCCGATCAGGTTTGACCTAGCAGAACTGTTGCCATGACATCAATTCTCGGATCAGCTTTGAAGAACGAAACGATCCTGGATCGTGTCAAATCGTCAATATCCAAATCCAGCTAACTGAGTAATCCACGTACGAAGAACGGACCCATGGAGACAACAAGAAGTCAAGTTGTAAATCTTTTGTTATTAACTATACATAATGAGAAAGAAACCTTTAGTGGTGTAGGAAATGTACTTATTTTGCTCACCTGGCTTTGAAGGGAGTTAGCAATTTCTCCTCAACTCTTTTTTAAGCCGGATGTGGTTTTGCTCAGAGTACACGTCAAACAGACACCGGTGCTCCTGCCAAATTTACAATAGTTTTTCCTCCATTTTTTGGGTCCAAATAGGCTGAAAAGAAGCCTTTTTAACTTCTCCGCCAATCTCCCACTGGCCTGCAGAGATCCATACTAGTGGATGCTGCTCTTTCATTGGCTGCTGGTAATCGCAATGTTATTTTCAATCAGAACACATTTCAGACAGCATGATTTGAATCGCAGATAGCTCCAGATATTTAGCATGAGTGTCGGCGACTTATCTGCTATTCTCTCAGATTGCATCTTTGATAGTTCACACTGTGTGACTGTTACGAGAATTTGCCTGTGATTTCAGGCATTTGTCAGCAATTTCTCAAAACCTGTCAGCAAGTCAAAATCGGGGCTAAAATCATGTGACCTTTATGAAGTAAACAGTAGAACATGCAAGTAAAAAGAGCAACAGTGACAACATTAAAATAAGACTATTAAATGAAAAACTACTAATGTTTGAAGAGCTAAAGCAGTAAAACCAGTAAAAGGCAGATTAATAGTAACAGTGACTGGATTAATATTAGACCATGTAGAAAAAGCAAAAATAGTAAATATCAGGTATAAAAGTAACAAGTGGCATGGACAAAATTAAAAACGGGCCATGTAATTATAACAGTAAAACTAGTAAAAAACCACATAAAAGACTGAAAATTACCAAATTAAGATACATCCTTGTATCTTGTAATTAGTCCATGGAAGTTAAACTGCCCAGCAGGCACACAATGTCATAAGACATTGATATTAGGTTAAATTTACAGGTCGTGACGTCAGGTGACCAAAATTAAATGTCTAGCCATCGTCTAGAGACAATGTCATTTTTGACGTCCAATTACGATGTCAAACGACGTTGATATTTGGTTGATTTTAGGTTGTGTTGAAAAGTGACCAAAATCCAACGTCGAGCCAACATCTTTACCCAACGACATATTGACGTCAAATACTGATATTTATGGCAACCAAAATCTAATGTCTGATCCACGTTATAGTTGTAATGTGCAAATATCATTAAGCTGTAGCATCATTAAACGTTGATATTTGGTTGATTTTATTTTGTATAATGGACATTGCAGCTGGCTTGATGGGTTTTGACATCATCCAAATTTTAATTTCTAAACAAAACACAATGTCTCCACAACATTGATGTTCAATCTCATGTGATGTTGATGTCATGTGCATGCTTGGTGCTAAATTAGTAAAGCCAGCAAAACGAAAGAAGGAGAAAGACATGAGAAATTAAATTAGACCATGCAAGTAAAACTAGTGGGGACACAGTGGCGCAGTAGGTAGTGCTGTCGCCTCTCATCAAGACGGTCGCTTTTTCGAGCCTCGGCTGGGTCAGTTGGCGTTTCATGCGTAGAGTTTGCATATTTTCCCTGCGTTCGCGTGGGTTTCTTCCGGGTGCTGCGGTTTCCCTCACATTCCAAAGACATGAAGTACAGGTGAATTGGGTAGACTAAATTGTCCGTAGTGTATTAGTGTGAATGAGTGTGTGTGTGTGGATGTTTCCCAGAGATGGGTTGCGTCTGGAAGGGCATCTGCTGCATAAAAATGTGCTGGATAAGTTGGCAGTTCATTCTGCAGTGGCGACCCCGGATTAATAAAGGGACTAAGCAGAAAAAAATGAATGAATGAATGAATGAAGTAAAACTAGTCAAATAAATGTTATAAGTGTGCTGGTTTTCAGTTGTCCAGACTTGCATAGGGCCAATACTTGCTTTTTAAGCTAAGTTGAATGTTCTACAACATTTGTTTGGCAGTTTTTAGCAGGGTCATAGCAGTCGTCATCAGCTGACTGCTGGAATAGTGAAGGACGTTTACTGAGATGATTCAGCTGCTAAGATGACTATTGACTGAACTTGACAAAAGAGCATAGAGCTCTCAATGAAAACAGTGTATGGATTGAGTGTGGGGCTAAAGTGAAGTGTCCTGCAGTAACACGTGTCTGGCTTTCAGATCTGGTGTCTCTCAGTGTCTTCAGTTTGCGCAGAGATTAAGGTCATTGTTGAGATCTTCAGAAATGCATTGCTCTTTCAAACTGTGCATTTCACCATGCTTAAAAGCAATTGGATTTTAAAACACTGACAATTCTGGAAAGATGATGATTGTGTGTTTGAAAATAATAACTTCTAGTTATTGTATGGATTTGAATTAATCTAGCTGCAACAGAAAAGATGAACATGTCGAAATATGGACATTCTTATCAAGCACTCTGTTCACAGGTTTTTTGCTGAAAAGTCATGTCACTCAAGGCTGAGGTGAATTTTTTATTCTGTGAAACAAATGTCAAATGAAAATGTCTGCAAAACAAAGTCATAATCATGGGATACAAAGTCACATCGTGAGGTATGACATCACAATCGAAACATATAGTCACAAATTTCATTACTGTAGTCACATCGTATATATAGTATATATATACAACATATATAAACATAAAATATTATTTTTTTTCCTTTGGCTTAGTTCCTTATTTATCAGGGGTCGCCACAGCAGAATGAGTCGCCAACAATTCCA